GCAGACCTTCCAAGGTATACTTTGTTACAAAGATTTATAACAATAGTGTGTAGGTTGTGGATACAGGGGCATATTCGATCACACCTATGTAAGTACTTGCAGACTCTGATCAAGGCATCTTTAAATCTCCTCTGGGATAAACTAGATAGCTTGAGTCTCTCACTATGTACTTTCAAAACCTTGAATCATTCTTGTATTTTTTCTGATCCCTTTCCAGTTTTTCCACCATCCCTTTTTAAGTGGGGACACACGTTCCATAATGGTTTCACTAGAGGTAATGCCACTTCTCTACTCCTCCTTGATATTGCATCCAAGGATTGCACCTACCCTCTTAGCAGGGCCGGCTCTGGCTTTTTGGCCGCCCCAAGCGCGTGCAAAAAAAAACCAAAAAAAAAAAAAAACACTTGCGGCGCGGCCGGGGCGCGGGGGCCCGGGGGACCCGGGGGGGGGGGTGGGGGGGGAGCGGGCGGGAGAGAGAGAGAAGGGGGCGGCCAGGGCTACAGCAGGGGTGCTGCCATGCGGCCCCTCCCACTGTGCCTCCTCCTGCCGCGAGGGCTCTGCTCCGGTCGGCGAGGAGGGAAGGAAGAGGACTGCCCTGCAGGGCGCTCTGGTTCTCCGCGCCACCGCCCCCTACAGAGCGGCCGGAGCGGAAAAAAAAAAAAAAAAGCGGCCGTGCCGCCCTAGGATTGTGCAGAGTGCCACTCTAGGATTGGGCAGAATGCCGCCTCCAACAATCTGCCGCCCCAAGCACCAGCTTGCTCAGTTGTTGCCTGGAGCTGGCCCTGCTTCTTAACTACAATATTGCACAGGAAGCTCATGTTCAACTGGTTACCTACTGTGACAGGGTTGGGCCAGATGGCTACAGGAGAGTGATAGAAGGCAGATAAATTAGCCCCAGGTCAAGCAGGTCCCTTTTCCCTGGGTAAGGTAACAGGGGCAGTTCCAGAACAATCAGGAACTTGCTGGAACAAATTAAGGCAGACAGGCTAATTAGGACACCTGGAGCCAATTAAGAAGCTGCTAGAATCAATTAAGACAGGCAGCCTAATCAGGGCACCTGGTTTAAAAAGGACCTCACTTCAGTCAGTGAGGCGCGTGTGTGAGGAGCTGGGAGTAAGAGGCGCAAGAAGCTGAGAGTGAGTAGGTGTACTGCTGGAGGACTGCGAAGTACAAGCGTTACCAGACATCAGGAGGAAGGTCCTGTGGTGAGGATAAAGAAGGTGTTGGGAGGAGGCCATGGGGAAGTAGCCCAGGGAGTTGTAGCTGTCACTCAGCTGTTACAGGAGACACTATAGACAGCTGCAATCCACAGGGCCCTGGGCTGGAAACCAGAGTAGAGGGCGGGCCCGGGTTCCCCCCATCCCCTCAACTCCCTATTTGATATAAGAGGAGTTGATCTGGACTGTGGGTCCATCAGAGGGAAAGGTCTCTGGCCTGTCCCCTGACCCATTAGGTGGGCCAGCAGAGACTGCAAGGATTGTTCTCCTCCTTTTCCCAATGCTGGCCAATGAAGAGGTTAGCCAAGTGAACGGCAGGTTTGTGCCACTAACAAAAGAAGCCAAACTGAGGACTGCCATGAACCTCTGAGGCAAGCAAATCCTCCAGAAAGCACAGAACCCACCAAGGCAGAGGAGGAACTTTATCACACTACCATGACCTTAAGTTCTTTTCAATGTCACTGCATTCCAGGATTTAGCCATGTATATTGTAAGTGTGACCTACATTCTTTGTTTTTTATGTATGACCTCACAATTGGCTTTGTTAAAACACACAATGGCATCTTACCAAGTAGTCCAGATTGGTCTGTACATCTGACCTGTTCCCATCATTACTTGCCACTCAAGGTTGGATCTTAAACCTGTTAATTAGTTGTGATTTGGGAATACAAATGATGAGCTATGTCCACTATAAAAATTTTAAACTGTTTGAACCTCATGGTTTATAAGTAGGAAATAGAGCTCAGGACCACCTGCTCCAAATGGCCATGTGAAAGGCAGTTCAATGGTTTCAGTGAAACCAGGCCTTGCTCCCCTTTCTTTAACTTTTTTCTCTTTTCTTCCATTTTGGGGCCCTAACCTTCTCTGTAACTGTTCCCTTCACTAGACTTCAATTAAACTTATCCGCATTCCTGAGCTCTTTTTCATTAGTTTTACCTGATGTAGCTCTGAGTTTCACAGAGATGATATGATCTCTTACCTGATTTCCTTATGTTTCGTTAGATCTTTCACCTTCTAGCCCAGTCATTCCAAACGTAGCAATTCATTCATAAAGAGAATGGTGGGTGAATTCTTATGGTCAGTTGTGATTTCCGCCATGAATACCTATAAGCACAAGAGTGGTGCTCAAAAATGCAAGCTGTAGCAGGCCCATGAAAAAGCTGATCAGAAAAGTGAGAGTGGTCTACAAAATATCTTGAAATATTTGACCATGTTGCTGGTAAACAATCTGCAGACAGTTCTGCTACTTGCATTTCCTACCCTTACCCTTAGCTAGTGAGGATGTTGATTTGGGTTTGTCAGGCTTGTTCAGTTCTGGAGTATCTGATTCTGGCAAAAAACTGACATTGAATTGTTGGATCCCAGAATCTGATTTTCAGCAGAACGTTGCACATTGGTTACTAGCACAACTGTTATAGATGTGGATTCTGAAAGCGGTTTGGTTATTGGAAACATGGGGCAGAATTTTGTTTTCAGGTGAGATCTGGCTGCTTGGCCACAAAAGTGACAGATTCTGTTTACCTTTTTTTGGTAGAAAATGGTCCCGTTGTTCAATTAGAATGAGCCTGTTTACTTAGCGAATGCAAATAAAGGCAAATATTAAAATCGTGGTTCTTTGTCAAAATTTCTAATGGGGAGTTGCACCAGTGATCTTGGTTGATATGCAGTTTGACTCTTGCCTTCTTGTTCTGTTTCACTTGTTTGCTTTTCCAGCGAAACTCCTTGTCTTCCTTTGCAAACTGTAAAACTGGGTTCACAAATTTTTCCACTTTAGCAATTGATTATGCCTACATGAAGGTTCAAAGAACAGGTGGAGGCAATCGCTTGCTGGATGGAAATTGCAGAATGGTTGGTAAAGAACTGCTCAATTGACAAAGATATGCAAATCTGCGATCACAAGATATAATATTTTGCGTTATTTCTTGGATATTTTGCTGTGCTTAGGTGAGAGATTTAGTTTTGAGAGGTTCAGATGAGAAATTAGAAAGTTGTCATGATAATTTTTGGTGTTTATTTGAATTGCTTGCAAGGCATGGTATCATGTTGTGAGATCATGTAGACACTATTAAGGCCAGTCCTATAAAAAGCATGGTAGACTTTTTTTGACAGATTTAGGAAAGTTTAAATACTTCTCTATTATATTTGTATTCCAAACACTTCCAAATGGAACAAATGTCTCAAGTGTTAAGGTATATTGAGGTATCAAAAAATGGAGAAAAGGTTGGTGACTGCTTTGTAGATTTCATTGATATTCACACCAAAACAGGGAAGGGTATGACAGGTTATTTTAGAGATGCTGAAAAAAGACTGTTTAGATATGGCTAATTGGAGGGGACAAAGTTATGACAAGAGAGTTAACATGGCTCCAGCATACAAAGGTGTTCAAAATAAAATTCAGCAGGTAAATCAGTACACATCTTTTGTCCCCTGTGCTGCTGACTCACTAAATCTTCTTGGAGAACCAGCTGTAATGTTTTTTCCACAAGTTATTCTAAATTTTGGAATTGTTCAAAGATTGTATACCCTGTTTTCCTCTTTTACTAGTTGTTGAAATATGTTGAAAAACATATTAGAATTACATTAGAAAGCCAAACCATGACAAGATGGTCAACCAGGGTAGAGGTAATCCATTTACTATGAAATTAAGTTGAGGATTTTCTTGATGTTTTGATGAGATCAAGGCTGCACACAATCTTACTCCAGAATTTAAGTCTGAAGCTTATAGCTTACAAACAAACATTTCATAATTTTCTTTCCTTGTTTTGGCCGAAATGTGGCATACTATCTTATCAAAAATTAACATGTACGCTCCATTTTGAAACTCCTCATAGGTTGTGTGTACCTAATTAACTTTTACAATCTGGCTCTCATCCCTCCCCCCTCCATCGCCCAATAGACATACTTTGTGTTCCCAGTCACATCAAAACGAAGTCTTCAAATTCTCTGCCCTTTGAAAGCCCTATTTACTCATATTCAAATGACTCTGTACTTTCTCTTCACTCCTATGATTGTATCAGAGTTGCCATAGGAGTGGTAGGAGACTAGCAACAGCACGCCTACACCCAAAAAGGAGCAGCAGCAGCAGGCACCAACAATTTAAGGTGGAGGAGCAGCAGCAGCAACTCTAGACAATAAATAGCCCGGCTGTGTTCCAGAGCATTAGCTAGTGCTCAGGGGCAGGACCCAGCAACAATGTTGCACACTCCGTTGCCTGCGGGAGGTGTGCTGACTTCTATACTGGTTTTGGCTATTAGTAATCTGCAGATTTTAATAATCCACATCGTTTTTCTACTCCATGTTAATGAAGCTTTCAAAATTATATGGCTAATCTGGTAGGTAGCAGTGGTGTAGAGAGTCTCTGCTAGCCCATTCTATAATACTGATACATGCACTGGGTTCAAAGCTTACACCTCTACCTCGATATAACGCTGTCCTCGGGAGCCAAAAAAT